ACTTCATGCACATGGTTCTCCTGCTTGTCTTCATAGCAACTACAGCTCATCTGCTGTAGTTGCTGTGATTATCCATGTTAAGTACAAGACTACAGGAGCCAGTGTATTGGTGTCCTGGCATGCATGTACCCTGCATTGAGATGGGCTTATTTGCTTTCCAGATAGAATCAACCAGGTCTTTAGTGGGCAGGAGGAAGTCATAATGTAGCAATCACAAACTAACATTTTGGTAGAAAATCTGAAAAGGAGATTAGTATATCAATAATACAATGTAAAGCAATACATACATAATTTATCTTTATAATTAGTTGCAGCTTTGCTAATGCCAGAGTGAACTTGTACATGGGTTGTCAAACTTTTAGTAGCAATGATAGACTGAAAGCACAAGGGGCTAGTTAGCTCATCACTCTCATCCAAAGTCATAAAAAGTGAAAATTGATTGTAGTGATTATGATGCAAAGATCTTTGGGCTCCATCTTTCTACATATTGTCAAAGAGCTGCTGTGGCTATAATGCGTTAGTACCCTTTAAGTACCAGAGGTTACCCAACATTCCGAAAAGTAATACATTCCCAGAAGCAGAAAACTTTGAGTTTCCCGAGCTAAACAGTCCTAATGCATGGGTGTGTGACCTAACATAGAGATGGGTACATTAAATCCTTGGCTGGGTTTTGCACAGTATGCGCAGTGCACAGGTTAGTGCAAATAATCTTTTTGAATTAGAGAATGGATAAAACCATTACATTTTTTAAACCGAGAACTGTTGCCCCCCTCGAGAAATCCGACGGTCTCCCTCCCCTGCCAGCACATGCAGGCGCTAGCCCTGCAATGTGCCTGCGGACCGGAGGGGAGATCAAAGATCTCCCTCTCCTCGATCCCGAGGGAGTGACCCGGGAGCTCAGTCTGTAGCTCCTCCGGGTCCTCCTCTCGCGAGATTTGGAGCGTTGCCAACGCTCCAAATCTCGCGAGAGTGAACTCTAGCCCGGGAGCGCGGGCTAGAGTTCACTGTAACCACTGGGACCACCAGGGAATCACCACTGGGACCACAAGGGAACGAAGGGAGGGGGGACATAGAATATTTGTTTTTTTAAATTAAATAAATAAAGATATATATTATAAAAAAAAGCCCCCCCTACCCTTAACACACACACACACACACACATAGCCCCCATACTGCCCCCCATACACATACTGCCCCACCATACACACATACTGCCCCCCCATACACACATACTGCCCCCCATGCTGCCCCCCATACACACATACTGCCCCCCATACACACATACTGCCCTCATACACACATACTGCCCCTCATACACACATACTGCCCCTCATACACACATACTGCCCCTCATACACACATACTGCCCCTCATACACACACACTGCCCCCATACACACATACTGCCCCCATGCTTTGCCCCCCCTATACACACATACTGCCCTCCCATACACACATAATACTGCCCCCATACACACATACTACCCCCCATGTAATAGCCACATACCGCCCTCATACACACATATACTGCCCCCATACACACATGGGCTCGCCCCCCATGCTGCCCCCTCATACACACACATACTGCCCCCCTATACACACACACATACTGCCCCATACACACATACTGCCCCCCCATGCTGCCCCCATACACACATACTGCCCCCATACACATACTGCCCCTCCATACACACATACTGCCCCCCATACACACACACTGCCCCATACACTGCCGCCCCATACACACACATTGCCCACATTCACACACACACTGCAACTGTTACACACACATACTGTCCCACACATACACTGCATCCCTGACATACACTGCCCCCCCTACTCACACACTACAACCTTCACAGACACACACACACTGCTCACACACTGTCCCCCTCACACACACACACACTGCACCCCTAACACATTGCACCACTCACATACACCACTGCTCCTATGCCCTACTACCGCCCCATTTCCCAGCAGACCTCAGGTAACTTGTCAAACTGTTCTTAAACGGTTTGACTACTTACTCTAGGAGGGGGTCCCGGCACTATTGACACCATAACCACTACACTGAGCTGTAGTAGTTATTGTGTCTGGATTATTTCTTTAAATAATCTACAAGTGCCCCTCCCCAGATCAGGCTCTGGATCCGCCACTGACTGTGGGGCACATCGTCTGCACTGATTATGTTGTTATAGTATTAGTTAAGTATACATCTTTAGTAAAAGGAGGGAAGTCACAGTCATAGATTGCAAAAATATGGCACACACTTCTGATATTACCAAGCATGTCTGTGTCCATCGTGTTTCTACACCAAACACAGCTGTTCCTTTACTTCTGAATGTTCAGTGACCTGTACACAGGTCTTGTGATGTATGCAAGTCAGGTGTGACAGCCCTGATATATTTCGGCACAGAAGCTTGAAACATTTGTCTTTGTGTAAGTTATGATCTTCCAAAGCATGCTGTTCTTATGAGCTCTGACAGGCCTGCACAGATGGAAGCAGAAATGATGTATAATTGCAGTACTGACATGACGCTTTGGTTATCACAGATGGATTTCTCTCAATATGTCTGAGTATCCTGCGGCATATAGCGTAGGGGTATTCAAATACCACACCACCAACAGGAAAATACCTACAGTTCTCATCGGCTAAACAACTTTGTGTTTGTTTTTTTGCTGATGAGGTTAATGAGAGTTGTAGTTTTCTAACAGCAAGATACAAAAAGTTTAGCTCTGTATAATATTAAACATGAGAGTAAACTGTTATCCCCAGGGTTGGGAATCAAAATTAAAGTTTTTTTGTTTTTTTTAAATTTTCTTTAATTTGTGACATTTTCTTTACACAGGTAGTGAGGTAGCAGCATTATTGGTAGATTTACTAAATAGATGAGCAAAGTTTTTTTTATTAATAGCACTGAGACACACATTGCATGTTTTTGTGATGCCCGTTTTCCATTTTGTTTTCTAACTGAAATGCTGAATCATTTTCAAGATAAATGTTGTTACTTTACTTTGCAACTTGCGGAAAAATATAAGACATGTATATTACTCAAATATTACACCCTGCTCTCAATTTTTCTAATTAAACAGCATTATTTTCTCTACCTTCATTAGAGACACTGTTACTCATAATTAGAGACTTTGATCCTATTACAATAAAGTCCTAACGTTAGTTCTGCAAAGCATTATGCAACAAATTTCGAAGCATTAAACTAAATCCATAAATCCAGTGTTGTGATCATTTGCTTTACTGGCTTTAAACAATGTTATCTCCTTCCCTGACCCTTCTTGATAGTGCTGTTGTAGAACTATGTCTATTTTTCACATTTGGTTTTGGAGCTACACAAACCCAAAACGCACTGTAATGTAATTAAACCACACATAAACCAATCAAATCTCATTAAAGGACCACTATAGTGCCAGGAAAACATACTCGTTTTCCTGGCATTATAGTGCCCTGAGGGTGCCCCCACTGGGCGGAGAGCTCTCCTCTTTCTCTCCTCCTCAGTTCCGCCCCGTCGGCTGAATGCGCACGTGAGGCAAGAGCTGCGCACGCATTCAGCCGGTCGCATAGGAAAGCATTTACAATGCTTTCCTATGGACGCTGGCGTGCTCTCACTGTGAAAATCACAGTGAGAAGCACGCAAGCGCCTCTAGCGGCTGTCAATGAGACAGCCACTAGAGGAAATAGGGGAAGGCTTAACCCATTCATAAACATAGCAGTTTCTGTGAAACTGCTATGTTTAAAAAAATGGGTTAACCCTAGCTGGACCTGGCACCCAGACCACCTCATTAAGCTGAAGTGGTCTGGGTGCATAGAGTGGTCCTTTAAAACAAAAACGTTATTGTAGAAACATTCTAACAATTCCATATGGAACTAAAATCTTGAGTAATTTTGAGTAATAAACTATCACAAGTTGTGATAACATGTCATAATGCTTGTTTATGTACTCTATAATGAGAAACGTATGGTTCTAATGACCTAACCGTTGTTACTGAAGCTTGTGTAACTAATATATTGAAAATTATATAAATAAAGAATTTATAAATAAATAAGGAGAGCAAATATACTTTGAAAGGCTTACCTTGTGATATATGCGACTATCATATCTATTGCTTATTAATGTAACTGCTTTAAAGGATCACTATAGGGTCAGGAACACAAACATGTATTCCTGACCATATAGTGTTAAAACCACCATCTAGCTTCCCTGGGCCCCTCATGCCTCCATAAATATAGCTAAATTTTACTGTAAGCAGTCTGCTGACATCAGTAGAAGTGGTAAGAAGTTGTAGCCTGATCCAATCACAATGCTTCCCCATAGGATTGGCTGAGACTGACAAAGAGGTACATTAGGGGCAGAGCCAGCATGATTCAAACAGCCCTGGCCAATCAGCATCTCCTCATAGAGATGAATTGAATCAGTGAATCTCTATGAGAAAAGTTCAGTGTCTGCATGCAGAGGGTGGAGACCAGGGGCGGACTGAGAGCCTTTGGGGCCCCCGGGCAAAATTAGATCCCAGGCCCTTTGAAGGCCAAATATATGTGCATTTTAATAAATGTTAAATATAATTCATAATACGGCATTCCTTTGGATGTGTGTATTGTGAAGACCTGTGTATCAATGCATGTTTGTATTTGAGTCTGTGTGAATGCACTTGTGCATGTCTGGATGACTACATGTGCTTTTTTGTATATAGTGTCTGTGTGAATGCATATGTGACAGGTGACAGAGTGTGTGAGGGAGAAGGTGACAGGTGGAAGAGTGTGGGAGGTTGTGACAGGTGGCAGAGTGAGGGGGTACCTGGTGGAAGAGTGAGGGAGGGAGGGGTTGAGTGGTGGCAGAGTGAGGGGGAGACACACTGAGTGGGGGTGACTGGTGACAGAGTGAGGGAGTGGGTGACTAGTGACAGAGGGAAGGAGAGGGGGAGACTAGTGACAGAGTGAGGGAATGGGTGACTAGTGGCAGAGTGAGGGAGGGAAGGGACTAGTGGCAGAGTGAGGGAGGGAAGGGGTGACTAGTGACAGAGTGAGGGGATGACTGGTGACAGAGTGAGGGGGGGTGACTGTCACTAGTCACCCCATCCCTCTCTCTGTCACTAGTTACTCCCTCCCTAACTCTGTCACTGTGTCACCCGCTCCCTCCCTCTGTCACTAGTCACCCCCTCCCTCACTCTGTCACTAATCACCCCCTCTCTCCCTAGTCACCCCCTTCCTCACTCTGTCACTAGTCACCCCATCCTTCTCTCTGTCACTAGTCACCCCATCCCTCTCTCTGTCACTAGTCACTCCCTCCCTAACTTTGTCATTGTGAAGGAAGGAAGGGGTGACTGGTGACAGAGTGAGGGAAGGAAGGGATGACTGGTGACAGAGAGGGGGTGACTAATGACAGAGTGAGAGAGGGTGTGACTAGTGACAGAGTGAGAGAGGGGGTGACTGTCACTAGTCACCCCATCCCTCTCTCTGTCACTAGTCACTCCCTCCCTAACTCTGTCACTGTGTCACCCCGTCCCTCACTCTGTCACTAGTTACCCCCTCTCTCACTATGTCACTAGTCACCCCCTCTCTCACTATGTCACTAGTCACCCCCTCCCTCACTATGTCACCCCCTTCCTCACTCTGTCACTAGTCACCCCCTCTCTCACTCTGTCACTAAGGACAGAGGGGGTGATTAGTGACAGAGTGAGGGAGGGGGTGACTAGTGACAGAGTGGGGGAGCAGGTGACACAGTGACAGAGTTAGGAGGGAGTGACTAGTGACAGAGGGATGGGGTGACTAGTGACAGTCACCCCCTCCCTCACTCTGTCACTAGTCACTCACTCTGTCACCTGTCACTCCCTCACTCTGTCACTAGAGTGAGGGGGTGACTAGTGACAGAGTGAGGGAAGGGGTGACTAGTGGCAGAGTGAGGGAAGGGGTTGTAGCGGAACGCCAATATAAAATCCACGAATTCCGCTGGTCCAGAACGAATCCACAGTCAAGCGCTGAAAACACCAAGGCAATATCCCCAACCTCCCAATAACCGGACGAGACACAGTTTTGGGAGTCAACTGGCAATCCTTTATTCAGCACGACAATTTATACAAGTTCCCATGCAAGGGGTCTCCTGAGTCCCTTCCCAGGGGTATTCCCAGAGGGGACTACATGGGGGACTTACAGTATAACATATTTCTCCCATCAGGCACTGCTGCACGGGAGGGATCATCCTCCCAGAATGCACCGTTAAGGGGATTATCCCCTCGTGCAGCAGAACCGGCAATTCATATAAAAATACATAACTTTTAAAATACACGGTGGATTTACACGAATGGGCGTTCGGTAGATAGCTGGGGTCTGGGCGCATCATTCGTGAGATTGCCGCTCAGATCCCAGCCAAATTAACCGAACGCCGCACAGAAAACACATTTCTTACAAAACCCACAAAAGGAACCGATTGCTTTGGGTGAACCTGGTCCTGAAACTCCCGAACGTCTGGGAGGCTCAGCGGTGTTCGTGCCATCGAATAACTATTGGTAGTAGTATGCGTTCGACGACACGGACCCGCTGACGAACAAGGGATCCAAGATGGCCGACCGCCGCATGGTCGGTAGTCGAACGACGGCCACCCAGGAGAGCCTCTAATAACCGATTGCAGCAATGTTGCAATCGGTTAACTAGCGCCACACGCCTCTAAGTGTGTGGGCTATTAGGGGGTATCGCGTTCGGTTCACGAACGGCTTTCTAAAGTGCCGTTCGTGAAACGAAAGAAAATCCCCATACAAAACCGCCAATTGCATTCGGCGGAAACAGTATTACAGGCAACACGGAAAATACCTTAACATCTACATATGTGTACAGCGCATATCTCGCCCGACCTAGTGGCAACCCTTAAAGGCACAGTCTCTGGTTATTGTCCCAGTGGCTAGGTTTGCCACAATGCTCCCCCAGAACCAAGCCGGCATACACAGCCTGATCCCAACGGATCGGCTTGGGGATGTCCGGGGGAGTGCTCACAGATCATTTCTCAAGGTCTGTTTGTCTGGACAACCCGTCGGCATTACCGTTTTGTTTCCCTGGGCGGTAGTGTATTGTAAAGTCAAAGGGCTGCAGCGCCAAACTCCAGCGCAGCAGCCTGGCATTGTCTCCCGCCACACGGTTTAGCCACACCAACGGGTTGTGATCTGTGAGCAAAGAAAAGGGTTGCCCATAGAGATACGGCTGTAACTTTTTCAGAGCCCACACCACGGCCAGGCATTCCTTCTCTATGGCGGCGTAGCTCACCTCTCGGGGTAGCAGCTTCCGACTCAAGTAGGCTACGGGGTGTTCTCCGCCATCGGCTCCGACCTGGCTCAGTACTGCTCCCAATCCAAACATTGAGGCGTCTGTGTGAACAAGAAAACGTTTAGTTGGATCAGGAGCAGCCAGTACAGGGGCATTGGTCAGAGCCGTCTTCAGCTGGTTGAATGCCTGTTCACACTCTGGGGCCCAGACGACCTGCCGGGGCAGGTTTTTTCTTCGTCAAATCAGTCAGGGGTTTGGCCAGGGCACTGTAGTTGGGTACAAATTTTCTGTAATACCCTGCGGTACCTAGGAAAGCCAGGACTTGGGTTTTGGTCCTAGGGGTAGGCCACTGGGCTACAGCTTCAATCTTTGTGGGCTCAGGCTTCTGCTGCCCGCTACCAACCCGGTGTCCTAAGTACTGGACCTCTGCCATCCCTATGTGGCATTTGCTGGGTTTCAAGGTAAGCCCTGCCTCTCGAATCCGGTCTATTACTGCCCCTATGTGTTGTAGGTGTTCTGCCCAGGTCTGACTGTAAATGGCAATATCGTCCAGATATGCACACGCATAGTCCTGGAACCCGTCCAGTAGCCGATCCACCATCCGCTGGAATGTCGCGGGGGCGTTCTTCATCCCGAATGGCATGACTCGAAATTGGTACAAGCCAAACGGGGTGACAAACGCCGACTTAGGAATGGCGTCCTCGGCTAGTGGGATTTGCCAGTATCCCTTACACAAATCTATGGTAGTGAGATACTGACCCCTAGCCATCCTATCAAGCAGTTCGTCTATCCGAGGCATCGGGTAGGCGTCCGACACAGTTTTGTCGTTCAACCTCCGGTAGTCCACACAGAACCGGGTGGTACCATCTTTCTTAGGAACCAGGACTACCGGCGATGCCCAGGGGCTATCTGAGTGTTCAATAACCCCCAACTGCAACATCTCTTCGATTTCCTTCCTCATATGTTCCCGCACGGATTCAGGAATCCGATATGGAGTCTGTCGCATGGGAAGCTGTCCCGGGGTTTCTACTCGGTGGG